CAAGGAGGGGAGCAGGCATTGAAGACAGAGGAAAGAAATGCACTAAGGCATACAGATGAGACAAAAAGTGGACAGTGGAAGAGGGGCTAAACTATGTGACAGGGAGAGGGAGAGGAAGCAGGACGAAAATGGGGGAAGCCCTTGACCATCCAAAGGAACCTGGATTTCATCCCAAAGACCATGGCATGCCTGAAGGATCCTCAGCACAAGAGCACCCTGAGGAGAAGCAGGGGTAAGGAGGTTGGAATGTGGAGCGGTGGGTAGGGAGGCAGGAGAATGAAGTGTTCACAGAGCTGACAATCTGAAGAAGGGGGAGAAGCAAGAAGAGAAAGGGGTCAATGGTGTCATAACTTCAGCAAGTCAAGTAAGATGGGCTAAAAGTGACCGTGGACTTGACAACATGTCCTTGGCACACTTTTTCAGCCCTGGCAGGCTATGACCTCATCAGGCACACTTCACCCTGCAGTTTGGCTGAGAAGGAGGTCTCAGCATGATGGAGCAGGAATGCAATTCTCCTGAGGAGAAAGACAAGATGAGAGAGAGAAAAGGAAGACTGAGGAAAGAGAACTGATGATGCCAAGGCTGTAGAGCTCTCAGGAGGGGTTACCTTCGGCCAGGTAAGGGTGTCCCCCTAGCCTCCCAGGTGTGGGACGCAGGGAGGATGAAGCAGGGCAGAGGCGGGGATACGTGGAGGGTGAGGGAATTCCTGTTGGATGGCCTCTATTTTCTCAGCAAAGCTCAAGGAGTGGGAAATGCTTAGAAGATCAGACAGGACAAGTTTCCTGACAAGGACCCTGAAAGGATTTCCAGGCTGCCTGGCAGCCTGCTGAGGCTGCAGATGATGCCTTTGTAGTAGTGCCAATCTGCGTGGGCTGTGATTCTCTCCAGCAGAGCCCAGGAGCCCAGATGTCGGAGAGAAGAGCTGGCCTGAGCAGGCTAGGGTGCAGCCAGACAGGAGCTGCAGCCCCAGGACCCCATGTGTGTGGAGGAGAGGGAGGGTTCAGGCAAAGGAGGGCGATGAGATGGCTCGTGAAGCTTAGGCTAAACAGGGAAAGAAATGAAGAAGTGGGGGGTAGGGTACTGATGCAATGACGGAACATAGCAAGGGAAAGAGACTAGGTTTTGGGGAGGTTGAAAACCCAGCACACTAGGAGGTAGGAGTGGACATGCTGGAAGGTGGGAGGCTCTGATGAGGAGGGCTGAAGAACAATTCAAGGCAATATATAATCAAGTGCTAATTAGGATGATATGAAATGGAAGTGGGCATAGGTGCTGGGGAGGAGGGGGACGCTCGGTACGGAGTGCTCAGTGTGGATAGGGGAGAAATCCAGTGCAATTTGCTGCGTTAACATTTACAGCCTGCGTGGCACCCTCAGTGGGGAATTCAAAGTGATGGTGCAACACATGGTATCTTGAAGTCTGGAAAGCACTGGGTGGATCAAACCTTTCTGAGGACACAGTTTCTCTGGTCTCAATAAAGGTGGAAAATGAACAACAGGAGAGACTTAAGATTCTCTTAATCCTGTCTATGAAATGCTGCTGTGGTCTGTGTGTAGGGGCCCTGAAATTTACCTTGTCTGTCGTCTTATTCACCCCTGATTCAAGCCATGTTCACACTCCCCCTCCTCAACTGATCTGCAAATTTCAAAAAGCCTATTGCATGTTGTAGTTTACCACAGGATAAGGCCATGAATTGAGGTGGGTTTTGTTTTTGTTTTGGCAGGGGAAGGGGTGGGAAAAATCATCAAGATGGTCTTTGATAAAGACAAGGTTTACAGCAAATGCTGCTCAGATGAGCCTTGGGCCAGAGAGGTTGAGACCCAGCCTTCAGTAGCACAGCTAGTGAGCAGCAGAGCCCAGAACAGGTCAGCACTCTTTCCTCAACACAACTCAGAGGGGCCAGCTCACTTCCTTCGCTGCTCACTTCCTTGTCAGTCAAAACCTGAGTCTCCATTGCTTTCACCTCATACACTCTCTGCTGAAATTGAGTGTAAGTATCTGAACTTTTTGCCTAATACCGATTTCCCCTTCTTTCTTTTGATCCTAGCACCTAATTGATTGCTGTGCAGTACCTTTCCCCACCCTCTCTCCACCCATCCATCCACCTGGCGGCTCCCATACAGTGATGACCATGTGGCCCAAGGGAGTCCTGTTGCTCTCCTGCTGAAATTTAAATCCTGAATCGAGACTGCTGGAGCTATTGGTCCCATGAACGGACCTTACCTGAAGGATATCTCCTGGCACTAAGATCCCAGACCTATCCTTTCAGAACCTGGTTCTAAAGCTTTTCCTTCTGGTCTACCTATTGTTCCAGAAAAATCCCCATTTGTAACTTTGTGTAAGTGGGATTTTATGCTTGCTGCCCCCAGACACTGAAGGTCCAATATTTGTCATTAAATGAAAACAGTTTACACCAAGTTAGCACCTGGTAGTGCCACCTGTCAGCAAATGCTACCAGCACTACCTTCAAAACATGTCCAGAACCAGAACAGCACTTCTCACCAACCGTGCTGCCGCCCTTCTGGTGCAGCCAATAAAGTCTTTGGCCCAGACTACTGCAGCAGCCTCCTTGCTAGGGCACCCCTTCCACTCGTGTCCCTCAAGTCCATTCTCCATACAGCAGCTGGGGAGATGCTGTGATAGTGTAGGTCGGACCACATCACTCCTCTGTTCACTTCTCCCAGGGGCTCCCCCACCACCACTCAGAGTGAAGCCAAAACCGTGACTGTGACCTTCACAGCCTACAGGGTCCAGCCCCATCACTCTCCCACCACCCCCACCCTGCTTCTCTCCCTGCCTGACCCCTCTGCCCCAGCCACACAGACATCCTTACTGTTGCTTCAACACTCAAGGCACGCTCCCACTTCAGGGCCTCTGCCCATGCCATCTCCCCCACTAGAAAGGAAGCACCACGAGGGCAGAGATTTGTGTTAGTTTTATTCATCACTGTATCCTCAGCACCAGGTACAGTGAATAGCACAAAGTAGGTGCTCAGTTAGGATGTGATGAATGAATAAATGAGTGAATGAGTGATCAAATATGAACCAGGCAGCCAGGTGCTACATCTTCCTTTCTCTCCACTGCCACCCCCAACCTGGAGACCTGACAAACCATGGAACTTTGGGTTGATGATTTTAACACTAGAGGGGTCTGCCTTATGCTATTTTTGAACTGCAGCCAAGAATCACTTTTTTTAGAATAGATAATTTTTTAGAGCAGTTTTAGTTTCACAGCAAAACTGAGGATATGTGTAGAGGAGGATATATCCCATAAACCCCTCCCCCGCCATGTGCATAGCCCTACCCATTATCAACATCCCCCACCAGAGTGGTACATTTGTCACAACTGATGAATGTACATGATACATCATCACCCAAAGTCCACAGGTAACATTAGAGTTCATCCTTGGTGTTGTACATTCTCTGGGCTTGGACAAATGTATAATGATGTGTATATTCCATTAGGTGTCATACAGAATAATATCACTGCCCTAAAAATTCGCTGTGCTCCACCTATTTATCCCTCCCTCCCTAGTTCCTGGCAACCACTGATCTTTTTACTATATCTATAGTTTTGCCTTTTCCAGAATGTTGTATTGTAGGAATCACACAGTAAGCAGCCTTTTCAGATGGGCTTCTTTTACTTAATAATATGCATTTAAGATTCCTCTATATCTCTTCATGGCTTGGTAGCCCATTTCTTTTCAGCACTGAGTAATATTCCATTGTATGGATGTACTAGTTTATCCATTTACCTACCAAAGTGCATCTTGGTTGCTTCCAAGTTATGGCAATTATGAATAAAATTGTTATAAACATCATGTACAGGTTTTGGTGTAAACGTAAGTTTTAAACTCATTTGAATAAATAGCAAGAAGCACAATTGCTGGATCATGTGGTAATGGTGTGTTTAGCTTTGTAAGAAATTGTCAAACTATCTTCCAAAGTGGCTGTACCATTTTGTATTCCCATCAGCAATGAATGAGAGTTTCTTTTGCCTCATGTCCTCACCAGCATTTGATGTCAGTGTTTTGGATTTTGGCCATTTAATAGATACGTAAACAATCACTTTTTATATTTGTTTCTAGAAGTGAAACTCAAAGGCTACTGGAATATATACAAATAATAATTTTAAACTCAAAGAGGAGCAAACAAACCAAAGTGCATAAACATATAAATATGTCTTTCTAAGCTGATAAAAGTCCAAGGGTATGGCCTTTGTGGGGCCTGGGTTCTTAGGGAAGCAAGGCTGATAGAGAGAAGTTTTTATTTATATATAAATGTGATCTTTGGAGACTGCATTACATAAATTCCCCAGAACCCTTTCTCGGAAATGTTTCACTTTGCTTCAATATTGTCTTACATTGGAGAAAACTACAAGCTTTCAAATTGCCCTTGAAGGTGTTTGCTTCCTGTAAGCATATTATAAGTTATCAAAGTAGACAACCAGGATATTTTTATAGTATCCTGTGGCAAACATCTGAAAGACACCCGAGAGACAGCTGCTCCAGCTGCAAACCCATTGGAAGACCTTCAGGTCTCTACTACCGGGTAGTTCTGGTAGTTTTCAGGGTCGCTACCCTGGAGTTCCCCAAGGTAGAAGGATGTGTCTGGACTGAAATAGCCAGAGACCTCTCTTGAGATAGGCTGTGCTCTTGCCCCAGCAACCCCCACGGAGGTTCCCCTGCAAGCAGGGACTTCCATCTCCTTCATCCCAGGTGCTTCTCAAAATCCAATGATGCAGAAACAGAATTCTCTGAGTTCTCTATGATGTCCCCTTTCACTTCCATTCAACCAGAGTTTTTTTAAAAAGTACAGAAAATTCCCCATTGGCCCAGGGAAACTCCCCTTGAAACTCCCTAACTCTATTGCAGGTGGGTGGTTAAGCAGGGCCCTCAAAGTTTATCTTCAGTGTGTCTCCTACTTACCCACACCTGCCTCTTCATCCCACCTCACACCTTTCCCCTGCTCAGGAAAGGTTCTGTGATGTATTAGTCACTTACACTTTGGGGTTAACTTCAATGCCAGTGTTTCCTTGTTTCCAGAGACGATTATGTTTTCAGCCACATTTCTCACTTTAGGCATCAACAGTCTGGGGAGGAGGGAAACGAGAGGAGCAAGAAGATTCCTGGTCCCTCTGAAATAATACAGTAGCAGCAAGTACCATTTCCTGATCATCTGCTGTACAGTTCACACTGTACCAGGCACTTGGCAAATATTATATCATCTAAGTAATGAGCTCTGATTAAATGTAAAGTGTTTAGCACAGTGCCCGACACATAATAATCAATTAAAAGTAGTTATTGGGGGGGGATTAGGTTTGTTTGTTTGTTTGTTTATTTAAATGGAGGTGCTGGGGATTGAACCCCTCCCACAAGAAATTATCACTTTTAAAAAATAATAATTCTCATGACAATCCAATGAATTGTGTATTACTTCATTTAACAGGTGAAGAAACAAAGGTAAATGTCTTCCCAAACTCACTCAGATGATAGATGCAAGGTGAGGATTTAAATCTAGATTTATCTGACTCCAAAGACATGCTCTTCCTGTAACACCATTTGGATTTCAAATCACAAAAGTCTCAGCTTAATCCGCCTACCAGTGAGTCTGGTCAGAAACTTTGGCACGTGTCCTAAAATGCCTCTTTTTTTTTTTTCCTATTTAAATTTATTTATTTATTTATTTTTATTGAGGTATAGTTGATGTTATGTAAGTTTCAGGTGTACAACATAGTCAGTCACAATTCTGAAAGATTATACTCCATTTATAGTTACTATAAAATACTGGTTATATTCTCTGTGCTATGCAATATATCCCTGTAGTTTATTTATTTGATACTTAGTGGTTTGTAGCTCTTAACTCCCATCTCTGTCTTGACACTCCCCCCTTCTCTTGCCCCACTGATAACCACTAGTTTTTCTCTGTATCTGTCAGTCTGCTTCTTTTTTGCTTTTTGTTATTACTTTGTTTTATGTTTTAGAATACAGAATTTGTCTTTCTCTGTCTGACTTATCTCACCAAGCATAATACCCTCCAAGTCTACCCATGTTGTTGCAAATGGCAATTTTTCTTTCTTTTTCTATGGCTGAGTAGTATTCCATTGTGTGGGGTGTGTGTGTGTGTGTGTGTGTGTGTGTGTGTGTGTGTGTATCACATTTTCTTTATCCATTCATCCATTGATGGACATTTAAGTTGCTTCCATATCTTGGTAATTGTAAATAATGCTGCTATGAACACTGGTATGCGTACATCTTTCAAATTAATGTTTTCATTTCCTTTGGATATATACCCAGGAGTGGAATTGCTGGATCATATAGTAGTTCTATTTTTAGTTTTTTGAGGAACCATCATCCTGTCTTCCACAGTGGCTGCACCGATTTACTTTCCCACCCACAGTGTACATGAGTTCGCTTTAATCCATATCTTCCCTAACATTTATTTGTGGTCTTTTTGATGGTAACCATTCTGGCAGGTGTGAGGTGATATCTCATTGTGGTTTTGATTTGCATTTCCCTGATGATTAATGATGTTGAGCATCTTTTCATGTGTCTGTTGGCCATCTGTATGTCTTCTTTGGAAGAGTATCTGTTTAAGTCTTCTACCCGTTTTAAAATCAGTAGTGAGTTTTTTTGATGTTGAGTTATATGAGCTGTTGGATAATAACTCCTTATCGGTCATATCATTTGTAAAATGCTTCATTTTTATAAGACTTTACTTACCAAGAAAACTCTTCTATCAGTTTTCTCACCCTCATCACTTTCCAGAGCATTGGAGGTTATTTCTACCCCCTGGTACTCACAGCACTTGTTGTTGAGGAAGTGACAGCCTGAGATGAAAGTCACTAACATCCTGGCATGTCAGAGGCAAGCTCCAGCATAAGAATCTCTGATTTACATCTGTTTCCAAGAAAGTTGGGAAAAAGACTAGCCTCAGTCTAATTTCCCTAGGACAAGACCCATGGCCAAGTGGCGAATGAAATGAGTATATGATGACGATAATCCAAGCCTCCTTCCTCCCTGTGTATCTCCAATCACATCCAGGTACTTTCTGTCCACAAGAGAAGCAAGCTGTGTGCATTTCCAGGAAAGCGTGTGTGTGACTTCCTGTCAAAGGGTGGTCGGGACTTTGGTTAAGACTTGGTGTTAATAGGATCATCCCTGAATGAACCAAGCAGGACAACACTAAAATAAAACCTCTGTCCTCATGTCTGACCACCTCCCAGACTAGAGCTTTTGGCTCACAAAGGCCAGAGCCTAAGTGTGGCTAGTGGCTGGAAAAACAACTCCGAGCCCAGGGCCCATGCAAGACATGTTTATTCATGGTGTCTGCCCTTCCAGCCTCTTGGGAATGGAGAGATATTTGTGCTAGGTTACAGCCTTCCTCAAATGCTCCCCTGAATATGTGCTGACTCCAGGGATTCTTTATTCCTGGTGGAAAATATTTTTGCTATTTGGATAAATCCTTACTTTGCTTTGGATGTTCTGTGCTGTGTCCCCTTTTAGCTGAATTCAAAATAAAATCCTTCTGGAAGACATGCCCCTTGCCCCTGCAGCCTGCTTGGAGGCTCTAACATGGACAGTCTGCGAGGCAAGCTGCCCCGCCCCTGCTGAGATCGACATTCCCTGGGTCCACCCTGATGGATACAGAGTGATGTCTCCCGACAAACCTGAGGCACTCTCCCAGTCTTTCAGATTGGTAAAGAAGTCCAAACCATGTAAGGAAGTCACCCCTGAGGCTTCTTCCAGCTTTTGTTAATCAGACATGACAGCTGATTAGTCAGAAATCACCCATTGTGGTCCTTCTGCCTCTAAATCATATAAGGATACATGGACTCCACAGGGCTGTCCTTGAATAGGTATGCTTAATAAGGTTTCTTTCCTTATGAGAGAACACTGATCTGCAAGGCTCTGCACTTTCCTTGTTCAGTTTTATCCATCAGTACTTTTTTCTGCCAAATCTCATTTCTGGATCTAATGAGGATCCACAATTGGGCTGACACCAATGACCATGGAAGTCTTGAGAAAGTCTGGTAGCCATGTCATCGTTATGAGGGCTGGATCCCTGGTCTCCCATGTCACAGTTTCCTGAGTTACTGGCCAGGAAAGCCCGCTGTGCTCGAGCTCCCTGAGCCCTGAGCTGGACCCATCTGCAGCCCTTGCCCTCCCGGACTCAGATGACGCCAGGACTACAGGCAGCAGCGGGACTCAGGTGCCGGGCACAGAGCCCAGACAAGGAAGGCTGCAGCGAGGCTGAATGCAGTTTAGGGAATAGGCAGAATTAGGTCAGATCTGGAAAATGCCGCTGGAAATCTATCAACCAGTGAGGAGGGAAGGTCAGGAGCCAGATCAGTACAGAGTGACAAGTGAGGGAGTCTATACAGGAAGACAGTATGTGCAAATCAGACAGCAGCCTGTTGAGAATTAGAATTGAAAACAAACCAGGAAAATAGTCCAAAAACAACCAATCAGTTTTTGACCAAAATGTAGATGTAACTCATTGAAAAAAGGATAATTTTTTAAACAAATGGTGCAGGAAAGTGTGTAGCCATATACAAAAATGAACCTTGACCGTTCTGTACACAAAATTTAATTTGAAATTGATCTTTAGGGCTAAAACTATAAAACCTTTAAGAGAAAACACAGGAGAAAGTCTTAATGACCTTGGGTTTGCCAAAAATTCTTTAAAAGGATTCAAAAAATACAAACTGTAACAGTGTGAACGTATTTAATGCCACTGAACTATACACTTGAAATAGTTAAAATGGTCATTTTTATGTTATCTATATTTTACCACAGTAATAATAATAATAAAAGAGAAAATACCTTCTCTTCAGGCAATTGCCAGGAAAAAAACCCACAAATTATCAAAAGAAAATTCAAAATTTTAAACTTTTGTTCTTTAAAAGAACAGTATAAAAATGAAAAGGTTGCATACGAAAAGCTGCAAAACCTTATCTAACAAAGGAAGTGTTCTAGAATATATAAAGAATTCTTATATCTCAATAAGACAAACAACCCAATTATTTTTAAAATGAGCAAAACATTGAACAGACATTTCACCAAAGTAGATAGATAGTTAGCGAATAAGACATGAAAAGATGCCTAATGTAATTAGTCAGCAGGGAAATACAGATTAAAACCAAAATGAGAAACTACTATATACCTCCTAGAATGGCTAAAATTTAAAAGACCAACTATACCAAATGTTGGCAAGGAAATGGAGCAACCAGAACTCCTCAAACACTGCTGAGAGGGATGTAAAATGACACAGCCACTTTGGAAAACAGTTTGGTCATTTCTCATCATATTAAACATATACCTACTATATGATCCAGCCATTCCACACCTAGGTATTTACCCCAGGGAAGTGAAAGCAAGCATATGTCTACAAAAAGACATGTACTTGAATGTTCTTAGTAGTTTTATTTGAAATCGTCAAAAACTGTAAACAATTCAAATATCCATCAAGAGGTGAATGGATAAACAAATTTAATATACCTATACAAGGGAATACGACTCTCTGATAAAAAGGAATGAACTATTGATACATGCAGCAACATGGATGAACTGCAAAATAATTATGCTGAAAGAAGTCAGACCAAAAAAAAAAAGGACATGCTATCTGTTTCTATATATAAAATTCTAGAAAATGCAAATTTATCTATAGTGACAGAAAGCAGACAATTGGTTGCCTAGGAACAGGGTGGGAACAGGGGGAGTGAGGGATGGATTACAGAGGAGCACAGGGAAGCTTTGGGGAGTGATAGACATATTCATTATCTTGATTATAGCAATGGTTTCATGGCTGTATACATATGTCAGAACTCATCAGTTTGTATTGTGCCGTTAATTGTACATAAATTATAATTCAATAAAGCCTCTAAAAATAATGAAGAAAACAGAATGAAAAACCCACCCCCTGCCATCAATAAGCAAGGCAGGATCATGGCCAGTATGTGGGTTCTAGAAGCCTCACTAGGTTTGGATTCAGGATCTAGGTCTGACTTACTAGGGTTGTGACTTTGGCCAAATCATGTGATCTGTCTAAACCTTGCTTTCTTCATCTGTGAAATGGGGATAATAATAGGGT